CATTTTGATTTTAGTTGAAGTGGCTTTAGAGACACTCACTTACTATTTTTTTAGGAAGGCTTAAGTGAAGGAGTATATTTAAATATTCCAGCCTGCATGACTGTTTTTAATCAGCTAGGAGAAATGATCACTTTGTGGTGACATGGAAGGCTTGAGTAATCTCTCGAGGAGGGAGATTGTTTCATTGTTCTTTCTAACCACAGAGTTTCTTAGTTTTAATATTCAGGACAATAACAAGCAAGATTTCCGAAGGGAAAAACGTAGTAAGATAATTTTAGCTTGTTGGTTGGCAGGACTGTCCTGCAAGCCAACACCTTTTAAATCTAAGAGAAAAATCGGGACATTGACATTGGAAGTCAGAAAATATGTTTTATCTTAAGTCATATCCTCAATGTGCAGATTAATGAGAGATTTTTAAGGCTATAGTGATGTAGTATGATGCCATTTATATTCTGCAGTGAGTCGATGTGACGTGGATAAAAGTAATTTCGTGCATTTTGTAAATTCTATTCGATGACACTGTAACCATTTTACGAACATTGCGTGATTCAATGAGGACATTGACCGGACTGTCCGGGGAGTATGAGACATTCGACCAGAATGTGAAAAATGCAATCTCTGCAGAATTCGAATTTTTAGCAGCGAGCCTTCCGGATTGGTGATTATTAAGAATTAAGAACCTTATTGGAACGATTGGCCAAACGGTGAGGACTGGAATATTCTGGTATTTTAAAATTTCAAAAATTCGAATTATGACGTCATATTTCTGAGAAACGTCAGAAACGGCCATTTTTGCTAAAACAAGAAAGAAAAACAGAACAACATCAGCTGCGCTAACAACAACTACGAAATCGAGATTGGAAAACGACAACGAGTTACAGAGTAACAGAGAACACTCCGAGTTGCAACTATTGTGCCGCTACAATAGTTGCAAGGCCGTTGCGAACAACGGTGAAGGGTGAAAGACGGCCTTCCGGATTAAGAAGAAATCAGGATTAAAAAGCTTGATCCAGCGGATTTGTCAATCCGGAGGGGTAAAGGAACTGAAACTTTTATCCTGTTACATAAACTTTTAGCTTCTTGTCATGTCCTGACTTGAATTTAATTAATATCTAGATTCACTTTGATAAGGATGAGAAGCTAGGAGTTGGGGAAAAGGTTGATTCATCTTCGATGGAGATGATGATTTTTATCTACTGAACAAAAACAATAGTAATATAATGAGTAGTAGCCCTGTTTTTAGGAGTGACCTCGTGGTCTGGGGATACTGAGACCCAGCCATGAGCTCACTGTTTCTGCATGTAATCTAGTTACTTTGAGTGTTTTGACCGAAGCCGAAAGCAGTAACGTTTTTGTCGACCCGATGTTAGAAAGACCACCGAAAAGTACTGGCTTGGTAGAGACGATGAAAAGCATGCAAAGCTCTGTTTAGACGTTAGCCAGTCGTCTTAAGACTTAGTTTTTTCTTCCGTCGATATGTATCTTCCGGGCGAATGTTACACAACTTAGCCAGCGAAAATTGGGAGAGCAGTACGATCGCTTAGCTCTCATTTATGATTCACATTTGTATGATCGATACAAATGCGTTCAAACCATAGAAAATGCTCTCCTGAGCAATATTTTGCCGTTCTCACAATTGTTTGTAGCAGAAAGAACGCAAAGGTTACTGAGAAAAATTCCTAAGAAGGAAAAACTTGGCAAGGTTACTGCGAATAAATAAAACGTTGTTGATATTGACGAAAAAACGCCAAAAAGACGCTTTGTTGGGATTGCTTCCGAGTTGAATCTAAATGTTGTCAGATTTTGGAAAAATACTCTAAGAAACTGATACCAGAAATGAAAATTTTTGCTCGTAGCTCACCTCAAGCTAGAAAAGAGCAAAGAGCGAGATTTCTCTATCGGTCAATTGAAGATGACTCAACTATTATGTGCACTGTTGAGGACTATGTTTTGGCAGACGTAAAAGATCGACTGAATTTCAAGTTCGGCGTGCACCGAGAAGGAGCTCTTTTTGAAACTCTTTTCTTTGCCTTGATGGCGGATATAGTTAAAACTCAGAATTGTTTTATGTGTGTGAAAAACTCAAGTGAGAAACCAAGCAACCAAGTTGTAATTGAAAACTGAAACATTAAGTTGAGTTTTGAAATTGTTGCATTTGTAAATTTGCATTTTGATTTTAGTTGAAGTGGCTTTAGAGACACTCACTTACTATTTTTTTAGGAAGGCTTAAGTGAAGGAGTATATTTAAATATTCCAGCCTGCATGACTGTTTTTAATCAGCTAGGAGAAAGGATCACTTTGTGGTGACTTGGAAGGCTTGAGTAATCTCTCGAGGAGGGAGATTGTTTCATTGTTCTTTCTAACCACAGAATTTCTTAGTTTTAATATTCAGGAGAATAACAAGCAAGATTTCCGAAGGGAAAAACGTAGTAAGATAATTTTAGCTTGTTGGTTGGCAGGACTGTCCTGCAAGCCAACACCTTTTAAATCTAAGAGAAAAAGTTTTAATCGGGACATTGACATTGGAAGTCAGAAAATATGTTTTATCTTAAGTCATATCCTCAATGTGCAGATTAATGAGAGAATTTTAAGGCTATAGTGATGTAGTCTGATGCCATTTATATTCTGCAGTGAGTCGATGTGACGTGGATAAAAGTAATTTCGTGCATTTTGTAAATTCTATTCGATGACACTGTAACCATTTTACGAACATTGCGTGATTCAATGAGGACATTGACCGGACTGTCCGGGGAGTATGGGACATTCGACCAGATTGTGAAAAATGCAATCTCTGCAGAATTCGAATTTTTAGCAGCGAGCCTTCCGGATTGGTGATTATTAAGAATTAAGAACGTTATTGGAACGATTGGCCAAACGATGAGGACTGGAATATTCTGGTATTTTAAAATTTCAAAAATTCGAATTATGACGTCATATTTCTGAGAAACGTCAGAAACGGCCATTTTTGCTAAATCAAGAAAGAAAAACAGAACAACATTAGCTGCGCTAACAACAACTACAAAATCGAGATTGGAAAACGACAACGAGTTACAGAGTAACAGAGAACACTCCGAGTTGCAACTATTGTGCCGCTACAATAGTTGCAAGGCCGTTGCGAACAACGGTGAAGGGTGAAAGACGGCCTTCCGGATTAAGAAGAAATCAGGATTAAAAAGCTTGATCCAGCGGATTTGTCAATCCGGAGGGGTAAAGGAACTGAAACTTCTATCCTGTTACATAAACTTTTAGCTTCTTGTCATGTCCTGACTTGAATTTAAATAACATCTAGATTCATTTTGATAAGGATGAGAAGCTAGGAGTTGGGGGAAAAGGTTGATTCATCTTCGATGGAGATGATGATTTTTATCTACTGAACAAAAACAATAGTAATATAATGAGTAGTAGCCCTGTTTTTAGGAGTGACCTCGTGGTCTGGGGATACTGAGACCCAGCCATGAGCTCACTATTTCTGCATGTAATCTAGTTACTTTGAGTGTTTTGACCGAAACCGAAAGCAGTAACGTTTTTGTCGACCCGATGTTAGAAAGACCACCGAAAAGTACTGGCTTGGTAGAGACGGTGAAAAGCATGCAAAGCTCTGTTTAGACGTTAGCCAGTCGTCTTAAGACTTAGTTTTTTCTTCCGTCGATATGTATCTTCCGGGCGAATGTTACACAACTTAGCCAGCGAAAATTGGGAGAGCAGTACGATCGCTTAGCTCTCATTTATGATTCACATTTGTATGATCGATACAAATGCGTTCAAACCATAGAAAATGCTCTCCTGAGCAATATTTTGCCGTTCTCACAATTGTTTGTAGCAGAAGGAACGCAAAGGTTACTGAGAAAAGTTCCTAAGAAGGAAAAACTTGGCAAGGTTCCTGCGAATAAATAAAACATTGTTGATATTGACGAAAAAACGCCAAAAAGACGCTTTGTTGGGATTGCTTCCGAGTTGAATCTAAATGTTGTCAGATTTTGGAAAAATACTCTAAGAAACTGATACCAGAAATGAAACTTTTTGCTCGTAGCTCACCTCAAGCTAGAAAAGAGCAAAGAGCGAGATTTCTCTATCGGTCAATTGAAGATGACTCAACTATTATGTGCACTGTTGAGGACTATGTTTTGGCAGACGTAAAAGATCGACTGAATTTCAAGTTCGGCGTGCACCGAGAAGGAGCTCTTTTTGAAAATCTTTTCTTTGCATTGATGGCGGATATTGTTTTCTCCAGCGAAATTTCAAATGTCTTCTTCTCAGAGTACCAAACAAGGCCGTTAGATTGGATGACTCCTGATTTCCTCGAAAGCCGGCAAAAAATGATGGAAAGGAGATACGACAAGTTGAAGTCTTCGGAAAGAAGGCAAGAAATTGTCCAATTGAATTTTGAAATTTTTCCAAATGCAGTAAATTGGACAATACATCAAAGCGGAGTGCCTGAATTAGTCGAGCTTATAGAAAGGTTTGATATCAACCAAATAAAACAGATATTCGAGAAAATTTTGACTGATTGCTCTTTTTCGGGAATGCCAGATTTAACTTATTGGGCGCGCAGGCGTGATGAAACAGAAGGCAATGATCCGAAGAAGAAACTTTTGTTGTTAGAGGTCAAAGGTACTGGAGACACTTTGTCTTATAAACAAATAGTTTGGCCTCATTTTTTCAAAAGCATTGGCGTTGATGCTCAAGTAGCAAGAGTGACTACAATTCAAAATGAACTTGATTGAAATTTGATGCTAATTTTAATAGTTTTTTGTATTTGCTCTTCTACATTTATTGTCGATTGTTTTTCAATAGTCTCCTTTCGCTCATAGGTCTATTCTTAACTAGCCTAGAACGTCTGTCTGATTTTTGCGGTTTCAGTTGCTGCGAAAATCAGAATTTCATGTCATGCACGCCTAAATCGAAAATTTGAAAATATTTCGTCAAGCCAAATTTACCCCTCCGAATTCGTTCAATTGCACTATTAACGCTGTTAATCGTCCAAAATATTCAATTTTCCCGCCAAACTGCTTCCAATAAAATTTCGATGATGGCATGCATTTCAGGTCATTTTGGTCGAATGTCACTATTGGATTTTTCTCAGTTTTTGCAAAAGTTGTAGTTTCGTACAAAACTACGCTACCGAGATTCAGAAACGGCGTCCCAATGGAAAGACCGCGCATCTGCTGATTTTTCTGAACACTTTCTTACCTTACTCTATTGTCAACAGCCTTCATAAAAGTCTGTGGGGAATATTTGATCCATATTTTTGGATTTCATTTTTAGATTTCAGTTTCCGGTACTTTGTTTTCGTTGCAAAGCAACAGTCATCCATCATGTACGACTGGTTCTAAAGATAAGTAGGATATTTGATTATCCATCCTGATAATAAAAAGGGTCATTTTGCGCTTTGTTTGGAAGATTGAATGGATGTAATTGACCTGACTTCCGACAATGAATCAGATGCTAACGAGAAGATACCAGGGGAGTCCAGATTGGCCGAGGAAAAACGCTCATCGAAAAAGATAAAGGCTAATATTACTGGCAATTTTTTAAATACCAAGCGAAAAGTTTCATTGCCAGAATCTTTGATTCCGTTGAAAATAAAACAAGAGTCGAAACCTAAGGTAGAGATGATGGTAGGTGTACCAAGCTCTAGCGTAGTGGAATCTGTGAGCTTAAGTTTTGGCTCAGATCCTTATTACTGGCGCATTCTGAAAGATATGATTTTTAGTTGCCTTGCGGATTCATACGAAGGAAGTTTAATTAAGAGCTCGCATCGACAAAAATTGTTAATTTTTACACAAGCGCTTCAAGATGCTCAGAAGTTATCCATCCGTTTGTATTTGCGAAAACATGGTTGGCTCCGAGAAAGTTCTCTTAAGTATACAGAATTTGGTGAAAGTATATCTAATTTGATTAGTGAACTGGAGAGAAGTAACATCGTGGTCAGACCATCTCATGATTTAGAAATAAATGATTTGCTCAGTTTGTTGAGAGCACCCGAGCTATCGGCAATTGCGACAAAATTGAAAATTCAGAAAAAAACCGCCAGTAATTTGAAAGACGATATAGTCAAACTATGCAATCAAAAATGCGTGTTCTCATCCAAATCGCTTTTGCACGATAAAGTACGCAAGATTTGCCTTCCATATATTACTGAATGCTTTAAACTGGCAAAGTGGTTCATCAATGCCCTGAATGCAGCTGTGTTTGTGTTCACAATGTTTACACCAAATCTAATAGGGCCTGATATTTTTGCAACATCGGGAATTGTGTATCAGGTTCTAAACTTTACAAGGAATCCTTTGATTTCTATCCAGAGAAATGTTGCTGTATTTAATTCCGCTGAAGAATTTCAATTGTACATGCAATTATCAACTTATATCAATGATATCAACCAATTAATGATAGAAAAAGAGTATGCAAAGTGCTTGTGCCTTATTAAGAAAGCAACGGTTTGTTTTTCGAAATTCAATCAAGATAATACAGAAAATTCGAGTAAAATTGTCCCAAAATATTTAACAAGATTTAGTAACAGAAACTTGGTTAAAAGGTTAACGTTTCTCGAGATCGAATGTCACTCTAAGTTAAAGGGGTACGCTGTAGCGGCTAGATGCATCGAAACTCTTATTTCCAAGAAACAACTTAGCCAGCGAAAATTGGGAGAGCAGTACGATCGATTAGCTCTCATTTATGATTCGCATTTGTATGATCGATACAAATGCATTCAAACCATAGAAAATGCTCTCCTGTCCAATATTTTGCCGTTCTCACAATTGTCTGTAGCAGAAAGAGCGCATAGGTTACTGAGAAAAGTTCCTAAGAAGGAAAAACCTGGCAAGGTTCCTGCGAATAAAGAAAACGTTGTTGATATTGACGAAGAAAAAGCCAAAAAGACGCTCTGTTGGGATTGCTTCCGAGTTGAATCTAAATGTTGTCAGATTTTGGAAACTTACTCTATGAAACTGATTCTAGAAATGAAAGTTTTTGCTCGTAGCTCACCTCATGCTAGAAAAGAGCAAAGAGCGAGATTTCTCTATCGGTCAATTGAAGATGACTCAACTATTATGTGCACTGTTGAGGACTATGTTTTGGCAGACGTAAAAGATCGATTGAATTTCAAGTTCGGCTTGCACAGAGAAGGAGCTCTTTTTGAAACTCTTTTCTTTGCCTTGATGGCGGATATTGTTTTCTCCAGCGAAATTTCAAATGTCTTCTTCTCAGAGTACCAAACAAGGCCGTTAGATTGGATGACTCCTGATTTCCTGGAAAGCCGGCAAGAAATGATGGAAAGGAGATACGACGAGTTGAAGTCTTCGGAAAGAAGGCAAGAAATTGTCCAATTGAATTTTGAAAATTTTCCAAATGCAGTAAATTGGACAATACATGAAAGTGGAGTGCCCGAATTAGTCGAGCTTATAGAAGTGTTTGATATCAACCAAATAAAACAGATATTCGAGAAAATTTTGACTGATTGCTCTTTTTCGGGAATGCCAGATTTAACTTTTTGGGCGCGCAGGCGTGATGAAACAGAAGGCAATGATCCGAAGAAGAAACTTTTGTTGTTAGAGGTCAAAGGTCCTGGAGACACTTTGTCTTATAAACAAATAGTGTGGCTTCATTTTTTCAAAAGCATTGGCGTTGATGCTCAAGTAGCAAGAGTGACTACAACTCAAAATGAACTTGATTGAAATTTGATGCTAATTTTAATAGTTTTTTGTATTTGGATAAATAGTATTATGCATGGCACCTATTGTTTCTTGTTCTTTTAGAAAATGCAGAAGATAAAAAGTTTCAAGTTTTCAACCAATGAACTTCAATCTATTTCTTCTGACCATTTCACTCTATAGGAAACAAGAAAAAGGTTAGCTTCGGGCGTTTATGGTTCCATTCGAACGCAGATAACCCAAATTTGAATGTATTGGGTCGAGTGAGCTATCATATTGAACCTTATTTTGCCCGGATACGTCTTCAATCATTTATTAGACTAGAGATAAGCGTAGTGTATAATTACAAACCTTCTTTTTTTCTAACCTAACTCGCAAAATATAGTGTTTATTAAACGTTCACTTAATTGGAAATTTTCCTGTAGAATTGAAAATTGCACAGCATCTGTTCTCTGCTTTATTTGTGACTAGTGTTTGGTACCTCCGTTGCTGAGTGGGCAGAGTGTGAGACTCTTAATCTCTAGGTCGCAGGTTTGAATCTCACACGTAGCCGAATATTTACTAATTCGACGCTTATTTTTTTTCTTATTGCACTTTATAGAGCTCCTTTTTGTCGTGTTTTTGCTAGTGTTTGCAAAGCGAAGCTTCGCATCTGTGCCATTAATGTGATTCCACTCTTTAATATGATACCAACTCTTACGATCCTTCCTTGCGGCTCTTGAAGTTGTGTGAAAAATCTACCATCGATGGAACAAAAAACTCCCCAAATTGTTTCACAACACCAGGCTCTTTTCCAGTTTCCCACCCCCTCGTAAACTTCAAAATATAGCTGCTCAAAAATTGTTCAAACGGCATTTTTCATGTAGGAAATGTGAAAATTTGTTCACCTATTCACGCTGACACGTTTTAATGCATTTTGTTTCATGGAAAGCCGTTATGAATAGGTTTTCATATATTTAATGTCCGAACAAATCAAAGAAGTGAACTAGAAAAGAGCCCAACACCAGGTTGATGATTTCAGATTGCTTCATTTTCAACTTCTCATGTTCAAGATGAAAGGTTATTTTTAGATATCAAAAGTTATATTTCAAATATTTGTTTGAAAAATAGGAGTTCGGGTTCAGATATTTTGTAAATGATCAAAATACCGTAGTTGTGCTGCCGGTTTTTATCAGTCACATTACTATGGCAATTTGTGTTCAGGTGTTTTAGCTTCTTCTGTAATGAAGTTGCGTATAATAAAGGATTATTTCGAATAAAAAGGAGTTTTGTGACGATTGTTTTTTTTTTTCGGGAAAAGTTTAAAATTTATTCACCCTGTTTGTTTTATTTTTTTCAAAATTTCAGTTCATTTTCTTAACAGGAAGACAAACTCCATTATTGAACTTTGAACAGCAAAAGTCTAAAGGTTATGAAAAATGTGATTGAATTCTAATTTCGGAGTGGATTTTTTTTTCAGATTTTCTAGAGTAAAAAAAAAACAAAGTGTAATTTATCAAACTGTAATTGTTCCGACCATTTAAAAAATGTGGAGGAAATTTGTTTTCTGGTGTGTTTTAATTTTTTCTTTTTTCCCTTTTGTTTTCCACGCAAAACCAGTTACCACAAATAATAATTGAAGTAGGTTAAGTTAAAAAAATTATATTTAAGCCCTTTCAGCCGTGATTCGAACGACATTAAAAAGTTTTGAAAAAAATTCCTGTTGAGAAAAACCGGTTTGATGTTTTTGATTTCATTTCGAGCTAATAAGGGTTGTCAAAATAAGGTTTGCAGGCTTACAGGAGCTTATTTAGGCTTAATTTAAACCGTGAAAACTTAATTTTACTCGAGTAAAGTTAGTTTTTGAAATTTACAGCTCGCTTTTGAGAATAAAAATTCAAAAGAATTTTCGTTTTTCTAGCCGTTTTTCTACAGAAACTGTTTTCTATCTGGCCTACTTGATTATGGCTGTCCAATATACCTTATTTTTTCCGTTCAGATCTTACTATCACACCACACAGAAAAAAACGACTTTCATTTTTGTTTTTTTCTTAGACTATCGTCGGAACGTTCTGTGCTATTTGCACAGTAACCGGCTATCTTTGTTTAATTATAGATTGTACCTAAAATTCAACGACCTTTAACGCCATATCTTTTTTCTTTGAAATTCAAAAATTGAAAATTTTCAAAATTTGAGAGAGTTTTTTTTTCTGGTCACTGAGTCTTCTCCAACTGTCTGCATAAAACATATAAAAGATTGGTTGATATTTTTTCGATATTTTTTTCGTCTAGCTGCCGTGTTATTTTGAGTTTTGATTTTCTTTTAAGGCTGTTTCAAATTGATGTACTGAATTGATTAATTGCAATATCTGATCGAAAAATAGCAAATGGCGCAAAAACTTGTTATCCCAGCAGAATGAAAGTTGGTAATTGGGTCGATATATCTCAAACTGGGTTTGTTTTTATCGAAAGTCCTTATCAAAAATTCTTGAAAATCAAAGAAGTAGGAAATAATATATTTTTAAGCGATAGTTGAAAAAGTTAAAAATCAATAAAAAAAAATGGTCATTGTTTCTGTTTCGTTACGCTTTGGATTAGCAAGCGTTATCAAATCGGAAAGTAGACTTTTTTTTGGTTGACAACTAGTTTAGCAAAGTGAACTGAATCACTATGCAGCTGACATGCTCAATTTCATGAAAATTCAAGTTTAATTATTGGGTGGGTACTAGTTGCTACGGTAGTTTCAGGGGAGACTTGAAACTTTTTATTTTTTTTACAATTTTTTTTCCGGCTCAACTGGTGTCTGTTCAAAGGTTGTTAGCCTTGTTTCCGCTTCGTAAGTTTTGTTCAGTTACTAATTTGAATTTCAAATGTCTTGCTTGGCATGTGTGCTTAGAATTCCTGTATGATAAAAACATGTATTTATGAAAAAAGTGTACGTGATTGGGTTTTTTGAGACGCTTTAGAGAATTCTATCACTTTTAAAAATGTATATATATATATTTCTCTATTTGCACAGTAACCGGCTATCTTTGTTTAATTATAGATTGTACCTAAAATTCAACGACCTTTAACGCCATATCTTTTTTCTTTGAAATTCAAAAGTTGAAAATTTTCACAAATTGAGAGAGTTTTTTTTTCTGGTCACTGAGTCTTCTCCAACTGTCTGCATAAAACATATAAAAGATTTGTTGATATTTTTTCGATATTTTTTTCGTCTAGCTGCCGTGTTATTTCGAGTTTTGATTTTCTTTTAAGGCTGTTTCAAATTGATGTACTGAATTGATTAATTGCAATATCTGATCGAAAAATAGCAAATGGCGCAAAAACTTGTTATCCCAGCAGAATGAAAGTTTGTAATTGGGTCGATATATCTCAAACTGGGTTTGTTTTTATCGAAAGTCCTTATCAAAAATTCTTGAAAATCAAAGAAGTAGGAAATAATATATTTTTAAGCGATAGTTGAAAAAGTTAAAAATCAATAAAAAATGGTCATTGTTTCTGTTTCGTTACGCTTGCGATTAGCAAGCGTTATCAAATCGGAAAGTAGACTTTTTTTTTGGTTGACAACTAGTTTAGCAAAGTGAACTGAATCACTATGCAGCTGACATGCTCAATTTCATGAAAATTCAAGTTTAATTATTGGGTGGGTACTAGTTGCTACGGTAGTTTCAGGGGAGACTTGAAACTTTTTATTTTTTTTTACAATTTTTTTTCCGGCTCAACTGGTGTCTGCTCAAAGGTTGTTAGCCTTGTTTCCGCTTCGTAAGTTTTGTTCAGTTACTAATTTGAATTTCAAATGTCTTGCTTGGCATGTGTGCTTAGAATTCCTGTTTGATAAAAACATGTATTTATGAAAAAAGTGTACGTGATTGGGTTTTTTGAGACGCTTTAGAGAATTCTATCACTCTTAAAAATGTATATATATATTTTTCTCGAAAACCTTTTATCGATTTTCCAAAAAAGAAGTATTTATAGAAAGACCGCCTACATTCTTGTGTGTCTGCATACTCCTCTGGTCTTCTCTTGCTTTACCCCTTTGTGTGGGGGAATCTTTGACCGATAGTTTTTTGTTTTCTCAAAAACTAACCTACCGAATCTGACGTTTTGGTTTCAATAATTAGAACGGATTTGAAACGCTTCCCTGAATTGGCGACTATTTTTTGATTATTTTTTAAAGCTTTTTTAAACTTTTCATAAACATTTTTTACACAAATAGTTATGACCCTCGATATTTGTTTTTTTTTTCAGTTTTTGTTTTGAATTTTAAATTTTTTCTTCTCGAAAGTTAACCTCCCAAACCTGAGGTTATGGGTTCAGTTGATTTAACGGGTAGTGGAAAGCTACCCTGCATTGGCTGCTTTTCACATTTTTTTACACAAGTAATTATCGTCCTCGGAAAGTCAATCTCTGAGCGGTTTTTTTTCTAAATTTTGTGATCTTGACCAAAAAAAACCTCCCATATCTGAGGTTTTGGGTTCAATCCAAAGAACGGGTTTCAGGAAGCTCCGTTGCACACGCGACTACGCCCAATTTTCCAAAATTTTATGGCCCTTCGAAAAGTCAAAATTATGATTTTTTGACCGTTTTTTGAAAATTTTTGACTTTTCTCGAGAACTACTCTGTCAAACTTGGATTTTGGGTTCAATCGAAATTACAGGTCGGATTAATTTCTTCTGCATAAGTGGCTACGCCGAATTTTTTAAAAACAAAAGCTGTGATTCTCAGAAATGTCAACTCTGATTTGTTGCCCCTTTGTTGGACTTTTCTTGAAACTATCATGCCAAATCTGATATCATAGATTTAATTGTCATAGTTTGCGTTAGAACCGTTCTTTTATATTTTAGAACCGTTCTTTCTACAAAAAAAAACTGGCCCTTGCCCAGTTTTTCATAAAAAAAGTTATGGTCTTCGAACAATTGAAAGTTGCGAAACTTTGACCGTTTTTTTTTACTTTACTCGAAAATTACCGTGTCAATTTTCAGGTTAAGCTTTCAATCAAGAAATTCGAATTTGAGAATTTCCTCTACTTTGCTGGTCACGATTTTCTTATAGGGTAGTTTCCAAACTACCCTATAAAATCTGAGATAAAAAAATTCAATTGAAAAAAGCTGCTGTGCGATTGTTTCGTACAGAAGCGGCACTCTTTTTTGCAATAGAATGATTATGTCCTTAGGAAATTCCAAAAATTCACTCTTCTCACTTATTTTAGTAGAGAAACAACTAAGGTTTTGTGCAGTCCAATTTTTGAAATTACTCATTTCGTCCCGCATCGGTATAAAAATTCAACAACAAATCGAAAACTTACCTCTAGCCTTAGCCGGGCCCTAGGTGTGCTTCATCGAGACATGCTAAAGTTTTGGTTCACCTAGTTGTTTTCATTATTTTTCCTTTTATTTCGACTAATGCTTTTTTATGATTGTGTTGTATCGCAAGTGGTGCGGAGCTCCGCTTCGTCTCTGTTGAGTTATGCAACCTTCTGTTGCAATATTTAGCCATTTTCAGCAACATGGAGACATTTATTCTGCTTAACAGCTCAAGCGATCTTGAATGAAGCATCAAATGTTAGTTTTTATATTTCACTATGCATAAAAATGCTTCCGCTTGTTTAGTTAACTATTTGCGATAATATAGCTTGCCCTTCGATTACATCTTTTGGAACTTGTTGCCAGTTACCCCACTAATTGTTTTCAGGTTTAATTTGAACGTACAAAGTGACAATGGGAGGAGATGGCGGCACGATCATCAGCAGGAGAAACTGCATGCGCTTCAACAATAAGAAGAAAGGCAAAGAAATCAGCAGAGACATGGAGAGAACACACAAGTGGCTACACTGTGCACTGTCTCAGGAGCGACTTAAGAAGCCGATTGTTGGCTGTAGACTAGGTAGACTCTACAACAAGGACAGACTACTCGAGTTTTTACTCGACAAGAGCAGTAGAGGTGTGTTAGATATGATGCTGATTGGCTATGGGTGTTTAAAAAACGGAAAGGTACCCAGAAGTGGTTATGATAATCATAAATGTTGAATATTGAGTAAAGGTATTTTGAAGTGATTTTCATATTTTTAAGTGTTTTTGGCGACCATTTAAAATGGCCAAGAACTTTAGATTAGGGTGTAGTTATTTGTACATGAAGCTGTGATTTTTGAGCTAGGCTAATGTCCCTACTTGTTTTGTGATCAAGTTATGTTCACATTGGATATGTATTTCAGGCACCTTGAAGAACATGGCTCACATCCGAGGTCTAAAAGACGTGAAGACAGTCAGTCTGAACGAGAACAGCGAGAGTACAGGCGAACCCCTGAAGAGCGAGTGCTCCACTGTACCTCAGGTTAAAAAGATGTTCAGCTGTAGTCTCTTAAAACCTAATACTCTTTCCATAACTGTGTGCATGTTTGAGGATATCGTCTTATTTTTCACGCACAAATTTATTTTTTAAAAGGTTGACTCATGGTTTTTTCAAACTCTCTTCAAGATATTTTTTGAAAGGAAGGCAGAATCTGCTCTCCTATATTAAAAATGCGAATGGAGAATGGATCAGAAAAAAATAAGTTGACTTTTAGTTTCCAAAGTGATTTTTAATTAAAGAATTCCCAGCATAAAATATCGGCTTATTTTATATCGGTTTAGCTGCCTGACAGTACGTCGTTTGAAGGACAATATAGTGTTATGCGTTTGTGATTCGGGCGGGGGTTGTAACATGGATTTTACGAAATTTTTTCAGTTCTTGAGATTTTTTGATTTCTTGTTTATTTTTTTTTGACTCAATAGCTTTCGACTGGTTTTCTTCCGGGTACCTCCCGTGCTAATTTTTGGTTAAATCAGAAGTTATGCGAAGTTCCGCTTAGTCTATGTGTAAGCAAATTGGCTATCCATGAGATTGTCTTGATTACTGTAAGTGGTAAAACCTGAATCTATTTACACAAGTTTATAGTCAAAGTTTGGCTTGAGCTCAAAGTGGCCTTGACCTTTTTTGATGACCCAAAAAATGAGCATTTTGCGTCAGTTGAATCTTTTTTCAAATGAGTTTTTTGTCGCTGAAATGTGTTGAGCTTTATTGACTGAACAGGATAATGTTAACAATGGGTTATTTATATACATTTATGTTAGGTGTTTTTTTTTGTACAGGTGTTTCCGTTCTGCTGTCCCATTATGGGTATGGAGATGAATGGAGTGTACAAGTTCGCTTTCCTGTGGAACTGCGGCTGTGTCATGGCCGAGAAAGCTATCAGACAACTGCAAATATCTAGTAAGTAACCTCTAGTTACAATTCTTACCTCAGTTGTTTGCTTTACGCATCAAATCTGTTTGAATACTTGATTTTTGTGTGAGAGCGATTGAGACTTTTTTGCTGTTGACGAACTGTGGTTTTGTATTATAGAGAACAACGTGCGTGATCAGAAAACGATGACAATTGAAGTTTGCCGTAATCGAATGTCGATTAATATGAACAATCAACATGTTTTGATGTACTTAGGGGTGTAAGTAGGGGGATAATGAATATTTTTTTATTTAAAGTGAAGTTGTGCTTTGTTTCAGTGTGCCCAAATTGCGACGCGTCTTTCACATCTGAAGACGTAGTTATAGTTCACGCCGAGGGCGAAGACCTCCAACTGATGCAATCCAGACTAGAAGACAAACTAGCCCAAGAAGCTTCGAAAAAAGAAAAAAAGCGGGCAGCCTCTAAAATGGACCCTTTCTCTAAGGAATCGTCAGACGGTCAATCAGTGGGTGTTGATAAGAAGAAGAGCAAAACCTCAGTTAAAAATGGACCTCTTAACACAGTTGAGATGAAACAAAGCAATTCGTTCAAATCTCTATTTCACACTAACGACAGCCGTCAGAAACTGGACCCGAACAGAGGCTTCTGGTCCGAGACAACTCACTCGTACTTTTTCAAAGGAACTTAATTTGAAAACGGTTGATGAATTTTTGACTAGATTTAATGTGTTTAAAACCCGAAAATGAATGTTTGCGGAATTTTTTTTCTTGCGTGCAGATTAAGAGTTTATTATATCAGTGAGCGTAGTGTTACACGATCAGTGTTACATGATTCTTTTTAAAAAAATAAAGTTCGCACATTTTAGTGCACACTTCATGCGTTAATTGAAGAGCATACTCCAGCCAAAAAATAAAGTGCAATCTTTGCTGCATGATATCCAAGACTAAATTATGCTTAATTTATCTAAGACTAAAAAAACACGTTGACGTTTATTAAGATTTTTCACATTAAGAAATGAATTTTCGCAAAAATTAGGTTTAAAAACTGATCAAACTTTAAAATTCCCAACCTTACAGTGGAGTGCTGTCAAGTGGCTACCATAGTCTATTTTCAAACGTTAGGCTATTTGCCTAATGAAGTTTTGCCCATCCATTCATCATAAAAATAATATATATTTTTAAATCATTGCTTAAATGGCCTGATTGAATAAACTAATTTTGGCAATCCTTGTAGCGTAAAAAAAATGAATGAAAGTTTCATAGATTGAATGGCTTTCTGAGAGACACTTGAAGTTATTCGAACTGGTTCACGGTACGAATTAGCTATAAAATTTTTAAGGTTGTATCGCTTCAATGGCTTGCCTAGAGAAGTTAAGCGAACCGGTTGAGGTACAAGTATGATATTGGGACCCTTAAGTTTAGATGGGTCTTTAAGGAACGTTTTTAGGCCAAAAATTTTTCGAAAACAAGGTTCGCAGTTGTTTTTTGCGTTTTTGATGTTTTCAAAATATTTGGGGGACCCATCTTTCATACTTGTTTTTCATAGGCCCAAACTGACATACTTGTACCCCGGTTCAAGCTAAAATATGTTTAAATCAATTCAAATAAACAAACTTATTTCACACTTGCTTGCTGCAAGCCAATAAACAAAAACATGCTTGATACTTGTATATTATCAGTTTGGAAGAAAATGCGGAATATTTAATCTTGGGGTGGTTTTCTATTCAATCAATTTTCAGTTTTTCAATAAAGCATATTTTTTAAGCAAATTCATGTTCAAGTGAAAGGTATTTTTGTTTGGAGCTCAACTGTAAAAAATCTATTTAACCTAAGATAAATTTGCACAAAAATATAATGGTTTCAGTTTGGATTTGGGACTTTTTTGAGGACTATGATTCATATCGGTTTAATTAAAGCGCAATAAATTTGTTCTATTAAAGCGTAAACGGCTTGAAAAAAAACCTTTCAAGCTGAACTAGGACAAGCAGATTGCTTTTAATAATACGTTGACATATGCGAAATAAAACAGTTGGTACTTAATATAGCTTGTGGGGGGATAAAATTAAGAAACAAAAGTTTTAAATCAAAATTTAAGTTTTTAAACCAGTTTTCAAATCATTAAAAAAATTTTTTGAGAAAAAAGCTGGTATTGACGATAGATCGCAGTCACAATATTCAAAGCTTTGCAAAAAAATTTTCTTTTCAACTTTATCAAAAAAATGATTTTCTCTATTCTGGTTCTTGGCTGGAAATCTGTTGGCTAAATTTGTATTAAAGTGTCAGTCGACGCCAATTTTTGGAGTTTTGAATGTTGCGTTAACTGAAGCTTTTTGTAGTTTTGAATTTTCAGTTTTTTCTAAATTACTTTGATTGGATTTGCTAAATGGAAGGCAAATTACTCTTTCATGTTGAAAATGCAAATCCTTGAATGACCATCTCAACTTAGGCGTAGTTTTTGCAAATTGGGTAAGCCTTATCTAAAAATTACAGATTTGGGGTATACAAAAAGCTGTCTATAATTATTTCTAAATGTCATAATTGTTTTTAAGTGTCATTTGGGTGATAGTGGTTTTTTGAGGAAAACTTTTTAAAGTTTGTTCAATGCTCAAATATTATTTTTGCTGTTCTACTTTGATTTTTACTAAGTTCAATTGGTTTTTTTCTTTAAAAATTAGGTTACGTCCATTTTCGAGTAGCCAAAATTTAAAGATCGCAAAAATTAGATCGATTTCTAGCTTTTGAAAATCGAATGAACCAGCTTTCTCAAATTGAGTCAATTTTATGAATACCATTATACAAATTAAAGTTCAAAGGTCAAATTTCAAATCAATTTTTAAAAATCAATTCAAGTAACTAAAAAAACTTGATTCAAAAAATAAATTGATTTTTTGTTTCTGTTTTTTTTTGTGGTTTTTGACACTTTTCCAACTGTGTGTTGGCTGTGTTATTCCTTTAAACTTGAAGATTCATTAAATTACTAGTTGACCTCAGAAGTTAAACTTTTAAGATGCATCAAAATCATGCTGGCAATTTGATATATCTTAACAAACAGGTCGCTAAGAAGATTTTTTTGGGTATATAATTACGGAATAGTCTTTTTTTATCAAGATGTCACTTATGTGTTGCCAACGAGAACCCGATTGGTGATCTCAACGAAGTCTCTTCTTGATTAATCTACGCAAAATTGTTCTAAGTTTGCTAAAATTTTCCAGAAAATGTAGAATACAGGGGTTCATCGATCAAAAAAAAAGTGTCAATCATAAAAGTTCTGGAATTTCCTAAAACTTCAAGCATAATTTTCATGTTTTTTTACGCTCCGAAATTTTTCTAGGGTTTGGCAGCGTTTTATTAGTTGCTTTGAATTTTTGATACTTTTCTATTTCTCCGAAGACTTTGCGTTACCTAAAAGTACCTATTTGGTACTCTTTCACCAGTGCTCTTTGAAGTTAGTCCATGTAAAATTTTTCTAAAGTTGTCCTATATGTCTCTAATATATTTTATAACCTTTTTAATCTGAAATCTTGACTCTTAGGAATTCAATATTAAGGTCTGCTGATATATAAAATATTTTTCAAATTTATGCCTTTTTCTATGGAGTACAATTGAATACTTCGCAGGATTTAAGGTACTTAGATACCCTGTTTGTTTTAAGAGCCATTGGAACACTTTTAGGCGTCCGCTGTATCAAGAGGCAAAATTTTTAAAGTTGAGTGACCAATGATTTCTGTGGAAAGCTTATGCATTATATCTACAGCATATGATCCAAATCTATCGGCTTACTAAAAACTCATTCTATGCTGTCTGATATCCTATTCTGTTTGGAGTCTTGGTTGTCCCCGACAAATTTCGAACTGCCATTACAGGTTCTTATTTTATTCTCACACCCGAGGTGTAATTGTTACTTGATCCCCCTGTAGCCGCAGCATTAGTCTTTTGAAACGCCATTGTGGTTAACTTGCTATGTTCGAATTTTATAGCCCTTTTCAGAACCTCTTCCGAGTCTAGAGTCTCGAATGTCAGCGTGTCCTGCAATGTCATGTTTTTCATTTTTGAAATGAACAGGTCGCGGACTATTTCATTTTCCAATGCTCCCAGTTCTGATCGGGCTGCTTGTGCAGATTCTCCAGATTCTTGCATTCTCGTAAATAGCTTGTATCTTTCGTATGTTACACATTTTACCTTTTGAAACGAGACTTCTGCCAAATCTGTAATTTCCCTGAACGTCATTTTCGATATTTCAGCATGTGGGTTCTTTTGTAGGAATCTCTTCTTTCCCTCTGTACCCAAAGACAAAAATAATCTGGACACCAATTTCTTTTGTACTTCGTTGTAGAAGACATTGTGTCCGACTCGTGGGCCTCTTTTCTTTCTCTCTTCGTTCTCCAATACTACTCTATCTATTGCTAGCTTATCTCTAAGAATCCTAGCGTTCCTCGCATCTTCATTCTCTCCGTCTCTGGGTGTTTCTGGGCGTGGTGGTGGTTCCTCTAATATGTCTTTTGGTTCATCCAAAATAATTTTTGGGTTCACATTTTCTTTGACCGTACCCGCCATGAGAAATTGTTCGAACCAGATTTTGAATTGCCACGGAGGGTCTAGATTCGCTGACGCCCAAAATACCGGAATTCCCATATCCGTTCTGTTATCTTGAGCTGCGAATCCTGCTGGCTGCGCCATGTGATATGCGTTGCGATATCGGTTGAAAACAAGTTGTAATTCAATACTGTATTTGGAATATTGAATTTAGGTTTTCTTTTTCTTTTGTTTTATTTTGTTACTGAGAGCTAGATCAGTGTTACGAACTCTGATCTCTCACTTATTCTCAATGTCATCGCTCACTATGACCTTGAGCATACCATAAAAGTAATGAGTAAGCACCATAGGTTGGTTGTACATACATAGACAAATACTGCTACTGCAGTAGCGGTATGACAATAACATAAAACGTTAAAGTAAGTTGAGGTAATGCGCTCTAACTCAGATGCTAAAGTTATAAGTTTCGACTCAATTTGTATCATGTTTCAAAAATGATTTTCCCGTTTCTTGGTTTTCGATTGATTGTTAAATTCTTTGGTTTATTTTTCGATTTGCAATTATCATTCATGTACTATTCGGAAAAATGTATTATGCGGAAAAGATGTGAAGTATTCAGAAAAAAAACGAACAAAACTTGAAATTTTAAATGCGTTTTTCTCAAATTGTGTTAAGATTAGACAAAATGCGAAGAAAAGGATAGTTGCTTAGAATTTCACCAGAATTAATAAAATGCATTTTTTGACAATCAAATTTGTCAATCAAAATTTTACTCTGAAACTGGGTCATTTTCTGTCTTTTTTTCTAATTAATCAAGAGTTATGCTAAAACTAGCAAGTTAATTGACGGGAAAGTTACATCAAAAGAAGCCTCTTACAGCCCAATAAAGTGCGAGGAAAGTTAAACTTCCAAAAAAGTTTGCATAAAATAATTAAAATAAATTTTTAAGCAAAGATTTTGAATTTTTTATAGTAAAAACGACCTTTTTTTGGCTATCAATCAGAATATTTTCTCTTATGCAGATTTTGGACGTTTTACCTTTCTAAATCTCTGTTGAGTGTTGAGCTGTTTAGGAAGTTTTTTTTTAATATAAGTTTCTCATCAATTAACCTGGTAGTTTCAGCTTAACTCTTAGTTAATTTAAAAAAGCCAAAATGACTTATTTTTGGGGGCAGAATTTTGGTTGAGAATTTCGAAAAAATGCACCATATTAATTCTCGTGATATTCTAAGCAACTTTTGCTTACTTTACTTTTGTCTAATGTTAACTGAGTTTGGGAAAACGAGTTCAAATTTTACAAAATAGTTTGTTTTGTACGATTAATTTAAGTCAGCAATATAGTTGCGTTTATTGAACACAAAAATGTTTCGAGATGATTGTTTGTTATACTTTTTGATTATTTTTTGTTGAACTTGTTGTGTACATATTTTCATTTTGTATAATATTTCTTATTTTGGTATCTTGTTGGTTTTGCAGCATCCAATTAATGTTTACAATTGTTAAACTTTAAACCCCGCCTTTAGAGATGTGAACCTTTATTTAAAATATCTAATTTTAAACCAAAAGTTTCAATCAACTCACCAATTTTTGCTTGTTATTCGGTAGTTTTCCATGTGATATTTTTTGATATTTTGAGACTTAATTACATGAGTCGAAAGAGGGTTATACATCCAAAAATAATTTGGCTTAGAGAGAATTCAAAGTGAAGGATGTTTTTTTTCAGTTCATTGTTTTTCATTGAAAGAATATTTGCTGTTGATTTGCTGTCTTTGTATTTCGAGAAAAGTTACCGGCGTACGGGCGAATTTGAACTTCAGTAACACTAATCTTTATTACTTATTTTTTTGTTCCGACCATTCAAAAAAAGTGGAGGAACTTTGTATTTGGGTATAATTTAGTTATTTTTCTTTTTTTTGTTTTCCACGCAAAATCAGGTACCGCAAATAATCATCGGAATGAATCGAGTGATATATCATATTAAAAGTTATTTAGTCTAATTCAAACGATATTTAAAAAAATTGAAATTTTTTCTCAATGTCGAGAAAAACCAGTTTGAACTTTTTGATTTTGTCTAATTTCAAGCAAATAGGATGAGGCTAAGCAGGTTTACAAAAGCTTATTTATGCTTAATTTAAATCGTTAAGGCTTAGATTTACTCGAGTAAAGTTAGTTTTTGGAGTTTTTTAGCGGCAATTTGGGAATCAAAAACTTCAAAATTCCAAAATTTTCTGCAAAAAACTTAAAATTTTTGAAAAACGTGTGATTTGTTCGAACAATTTTTTTTTGTTTTTTTTAAGTCATTTTCCAAAAACTAATTTCGAATTTTCCATTTTTTGTATGAATAATGAATATATCTAAGTTTTTTTTCGTTCCACAAAGAAAAAAGGGCACTAATTAAAAAATTTTTGCAATTCCTTAAAACTATGGTAGGAATATTCTATGCTACTTGCACACTAGCCGGCTATCCTTGTTAAGTTTTGGATTTATTTAGTTTTTGTTTCGCCATTGCATTAAATTTTTTGCAAGTGTGGGCAGTGTTGAATTCATTTGGTCTGTTACTCTTTTTTATTCATTTTCTTTTAAAATTTAAAAAGTGGGAGCTTTAAATGTTTTTTTTTTCAATTGCCATTGTTTCTGACTATTGCAAATTTGGACGTGTATTTGGCGCTTTGAACTTCATGAACTCTTGTTGTTGATTTAAATGGCACTACGTCATTTATCTGCGCTCTAAGAAAATTGACATGCGCTCTGATTGCTTGGGTGGTTTGCAGTTTTTCGACTTGAAGTTGTCATTTGATATATAATTTTTTTGATATGAAATTTGATTATTTAAAAAAAGTATGATGCGTGTTTGCTTTCTGCAATTTTGTCGCCTACTAATTAAAAAAAAAATTTTCCCTCAAATTGTTTATCTACATGCATTTCCTTTATAAGAAAAGCATTTTTCAAAGCGTTTTTTTTATAAAAAAAAACGAATTATGGAAGCAGAAAATTGGTCGTGAATGTGTAATCGTTTTTTTTTCTTTTGAAAAAAAGATGAACTATTGAATAAGTTTTTTCAATTCAAGTCGATTTTACTTTGTTTCTGATTCAAGCATCTTGTTTCAATTGAAGGAAACGAAACAGTTGAGAATAAGCATTCTTCCAACGAGACGTTTGAATGCTCAGAACGTATCGTCTGTAGTTTGAACTTCGTTTGCTTGATTGATTAGTTAGTGACAAAAGCCCACTGATGAACACGATTTTTTTGTTGCAAAATACTGCAATTTATTGGAAATTCCGATCAATATTCATGAATATTCAATTATCCGAGCATTTGATTGAAGCAAGTCTCTTGAAAGAAGTTTGATTCAAACTGCAGATGCCTTTGTCTCCGCACCTTGAAAGTCTTTTTCTGCTTAAAAAAAATTTTTTTTTGACGCAGTAAGAAAAAGGCAAAAGTGACATAGCAGAGTTATTGAAAGGCTGGAATGAAAATGACGGAAGATTAAAGGCTTCAATTTATATTTGAGGGACGGTTAGAAAATAGTTAAAACTTCCTTGGTTGTAACGGGAAACGATTAATTGGAACCAAACTTCAGACGGCCCAATTAGCATCCAATAATGAATTTTATACCTACGCCATTTTAACACGTAATTTAGACCGTTAAGAAAAGAGAAAATGTTCTCATCAAGGTCGGTAGAAAAATTTTCTTTTTTATTTCGGACGCGCTGAGGTAAGCTGATTGATGCTAACTCATTTTTGTTGCAATTATCCTTGTTATAACGATAAATTTCAGATTTAAAAAAAGCATTGTGTTTTTCAGACTTTCATGAAAAAATGCCTGTTTTCCATTCAGTTTTTTGTCATTTAAGATTGTTTTGCCAAAAAGATGAAGAGAGAACTGACTCCTCCCCTCCCCCTAAGCAAGTATTAATTTTTGACAACCATTTCTGTGTATGCGAATTTCATCAAAAATGTCAACAATTGTTTTGAGTTCTCATTTTCGTGCGTTTGTATATTTAGTATTCACTATTTAAATGATACGTAAATTAAGAATTTTAATTAGATCGATTCTCTGAAAACTATTTAGGCTGTTTCGAATGTGGCAATTAAAGTCAGTCTTCTGAAAATTGAAATAGGGAGGGAGGTCATAGTTAACAAGATCGCCAGTTAACAAGATCCCCATGGTTGTAATACGCAGAGACGTTGATTTAAATGCCAATTTTAGTGCAGTTTTTATCATCTGAAAGGTACTGATATTCTGAGCTCAAATGTGAAAACATTATTTACCTGTGATTATTTATTGTAGAATTATGGGGGTTTGAAAATTACCCATAAGGCCGATTTGAGATAATAAACGTGCATATATTGTGTATTATTGAAGCGTTAGCGGCAGGTTAAATCGTTCCGAATTGTGATGCAAGGGTAATACCCATGCTTGACGACAAAGCATATTAATTTTATTCCAGTCGGGGCTTGTTTTTCTTTTTGCAGAGTGAAATTGTTTTGGCTATTTTATACTATCGTCTGTCTGCTTATTTTTGTCGACTTAGTTCCCGCAGAAAGGACTTTTAAACAAAAAAAAATTCAGCTTCTTTGAGTATTCGAAAACACCTTTTGAATTTTTTATATGGTCAGGTAATTTTATTATAGGTTTTTTGGCTTTTTGGGTATATATATATATATAATTTTTTTGAGTTTTTTTTTAATTTTTGAATTGTCTTCTCATGTGTTTTTAATCATAGTCATTCATTTTTTGGTAGCGAAGCTCCGCTTTGCAATGCTCAGCACTAAAAAAATCGCGAAGCTCAGCTTTGCTCTCGTGTCAATTTTTGACAACAAAATTAAATGACTTGAAGCTGCAGTCGTAACATGCAGGGCTTGACCCTGATACGTGCCGTCTTGTTTGTTTTGATTTTAATGCACCTTTGTTTTTTTCAAAGAACTAAGTCTCAAATAAATTTCCTGGTTCGAGATTTTACTATACAAAAGCAGATGTCTATACAAAAGCACGTAATGTTATGAACTAATAGAATACCAGCTTTGTGTTCGTCTTTTGATCTACTGAAAATATCTGAACATCCAGTTTTTTTCAGGATAATTGGAAATGAATTTTTTTAGAAACATAAATACATCGATATGGAAAATAAACTCGCGAGGTTTATATTTTGGCTCCGCCACAGGTTTGAATCCATTGAAAAAGTTGCATTAGTTTTGTTGATTTTGTTGATCTATCTAGGAAAATTTTAGAATTTTTGAAAAGTCTTTGCCGGTCATTGATAAGTTGGAAAACTTGAATTGCCAAAAGCGTTAAAGATGCAACAAAACAAAGAGATAAAACTCATAAAATCAAGTTAAAAATCACCTTTAAAGAACAAGAAACAAAAATTAAGGAAATTGCTAAATCAAGCGGAACAAGTAAGAAAGGGTCCTTAAAGAGGTTTTGACAGCTCGAAGCTAGAAAAGTTTACAAAGTTGAAGCATATGATTGGAGTTCTCATTGAGTTTTGGGAAAATCTAAAAATCAGCAAGCAAAAATTTTGGCAATTTTTTTTCACTAGATTTTGCTAAATTTGAAGGATTTTAAGTATGTTGGCGTAAATAAATGAAAGTACTTGCTGCCGATCTCGTCATTGAAATAAACAGAAATGAAACGGTAAAAAATGAGCATTCGGTTAGCTACGGTTTAAGTTGAATACTGATAACAAGAATGCTAGCATACCAGGGCAAAATCGTGAGCTTCAGGCTACCTTTATTGTATATCAAAAGCTTTTTTGCTTGAAAATTTTTTTATAAAATAATGAGAAAAAATGAGAAAACTTTGATAGTTTTCAAATATATATTTTTTGCAGTCTCCGCAAATGCTATGTTACTGCCAAGTTATATATTTTGCGCGTGATAACTTATCAATAAAGCAAGTTGCCTGCCTTAGTTTAAACGGAAGGATATATTTTGCCGCTCACGCTTTAAACGAACAAAGTTCAAGCCATTAGACCTGGTGAAAAATGATCGCAGGTGAAACATATTTTACATTTGAGCTGGAAACAACCATGCTTTGCGGATGATAAAAAAAATACCGTCATAAAAACTTAGTTAAAAGTCGAAAATTGACTGAAAAAAAACACCCAAGCATAAGTATTGCGCATTTTTTCAAAAGTTGGAACGACAAAAGTTAAAAGTTAATGCACCAGTCATCTTCCGCTATTTAGCTATAGTTGTAAGCCATAGCATTACCATAGCCATAGCATTTTTTTCCAGATTCCTGAAGAATGTTTTTTTTGTGAAAAGTTCCATTGTTTATTGATAATTTGAAAATTTAATCAAGCAATTAACAATCAGTTATTTAGCTCAAATGCTTAAATATAATTTTGACGCGACCACTTTGAAAGTTTTGCGGTATAAAATCTTGTGCGCGGTCAGTTTCCCCTTGACTAGAACTTTTCAGACTATTGTTGATCATAGTTTTTTTTTAAATAGGTGAGTTATGGATTTGGCGCAAAGTTTCAAAGCTCACTATATAGTCCAATTCTTTTATCCAACAAAATAAAATCACTGTCAATTTTTTGGGGGCATCTCCTTGACGATCAGCTTAAGGGATGCGTTTTTTAAATTAGTACATGATGTTGTCAACGTTTCGAATCAGGCGCTGATTGATTTTTTGGCGAACACCTCTGCAACCGTTGCTTTTGAACTGAAATTTGGGAAAATATATGTGACTGTGAATACCTCACATTATGAATTTAAGTTTTGTTTTTGTTCCGACTTTCCTAGCGAAAAAAAAACGGAGTATTTGTACTCGAGGTGTTTATTTTTCTTCAGACAAATTTCTACTTTTTAATTAGCCATTTTTGACGGAATTTCTTATATCATTCAAAAGGTATTGAGTCCTGAGCTCAAATAAATAATTTAAAAAGATGTTTCATCTGTGATGCTTTTTTGTAATGCTATGGGGGTTTAGAGATTGCCATTTCGGTGAATTTTGGAAAATTTACGCGCGATATATAGAAAGTAACGGAATATTTGTGCTCGGGGTTTTTTCTTCAGACAAACTTCGACTTTTTATCCTGCCATTTTTGACGGAGTTTTTAATATAATTCAAAAAGTATTGAAACTTGAGCTTAAAATAAAACGATATTTCACCTGTGATCATTTTTCGTAATACTATGGTGGTTCAAAGATTGCCATTTTGGTCAGTTTCGGATAATCAACGCGCGATATATTATACGCTAGTGACGCGTAAGCGGAGATTGAATCCGTCTTAGATCTCGTTCCAAATTGGCGGAAGGAAGCTTATTATACAGGATTGATTTGTTACTAGGAGCAAAAAATATCACTTTGTACTTTATATGGCGTGTCGGGTGACGATTTTCACAAAAAATCTCAACTCAAAAAAAAATCGTTTTAAAATTTTATCTTTAATTTTTTCATGTGATTACTGCTCCACAGACCTTAAAAGGCAGTCGGATCATTCAGGGCTTCGCCCTGATACGAGCAGTCTTGTTTGTATCATACTTGGAAAACTTGACTTCACACCTGAAAAAAAAACAAGAAGACTGTAGTTTTTTTGAGTAATAGAAGTGAATACAACAGAATTAAATTAAATCTCAGATAACAATTAAACCTCAGATATAGTCGAGAGTTTGCGTATTATGCACGTGTCTTGTTAAGCAAGAAAAAAAACAACAACCACTGCAACATCGACAACTGAGCAGACATTTCATCTCAAGCAGTGCTCGTATTTGGATCAGAGCTCGTGTTTGGAGCTGAGCTCGTGAGTTTGGAGCAGAGCACGTGTTCGGAGTACAGCTTATTTGTGGATTGGTGCTCGTGTTGGATGCAGAACCGGTGCTTGGAGCTCGGGAAGAGTTCGAGTTTGGTTCGAGGAACGCTCGTGATATCATGAGGCGGACTCAGAGAATTATCAAACCGCCTAGTTATCTGGGGTATAATTTTGATTCGCAGCTCAGTGTTTCCAATACCTAGTAACGAATATCCCCCCTATGAATAAATAAATCAACGGTTTTTTATACCTAGTAACGATTGCTTCCTCCCTTGCAAAAGGGGTACGTAGTTGTAGAGATCCCAAGAACAAACTGATATAGTATGTTAAAATTTTGCGAAGTTCGACAGTAATGTCTACGGGCCGAAACTATTGCTCGAAAGAGTTGAGGAGTTGTTGTTAATATTCTATAAAAATTAGGCGGATCTTTCCGTTTTTTAACCGTTTTAACGCGTGTTATAAGTACGCAGTATATCGCACTTTAATTATTCCAAATTAGCCAAATTAGCAATTTTCAAACGCTCGTAACTTTACAAAAAAATGATCACAGTTGAAATATCTTTTAAAATTTGCGTTTAATTCCGTCAAGAACGCTTTATTAACAAGTTGACTGAATTGACTGAAGAAAAAAACCACACCAAGCATAGATATTCCGCACTTTCTTCGAAAGTCGGAGCAATAAGTTGCTATACTAAGCTTGTTAATTGCTCCATAGCGTCCTTAATTCGCCTTCTTGTTATCCTTCAGTGTAAATTCAGTTTACTAAGGCTGGCTATTCATCGGGCAAATGATATTGTGTTGCGATGACCCTTGATTCCATTATTCTGCTTTCAATTTAGTTTAAGGCATCTGAATTTAATGCAACTGGCTTTTATTGTTTCAAAATTTTTTTCAGCTTTTTTTTTAGTTTTTGGCGGATAAGTCATTGCTTGTTTGAAAAGAATGATTTTTATTCAACTTTTTTGGTATCATATGGAAAAGTATGGCTTCAAATCTGCGGTCCGAACTGTTTTATAGGTGGCGCTTTGGCGCATCCGGTTGTGTTGGTGCCCAAACAATCGTATGACTGAGGGTTCAAATCGCAAGTGCGCTGCAAGTAGCAAGGTGAGCTGTTATAGGATAGCCCCAGCTTAGTTAACCTTAGATAATTAATCTCCGGGTTAGCCCTCTGGCTGATTAACTAAAAAAAACTGGGTGAATAACACAGGTATAATGATAAGGGCAAAAAAAATTCTCTGATTCAGCTTTGTTTTTGTTTAGTTCTACTTTCAGAACCATCTATCTAGATCGTATTTTCCTTCCAAGCTCAGCTTTGTCCAAATATACTCTCAATTCACCATTACCATTTAGCTTCCGGCTGGGAACGTTTATTTTACTCCTTTAGAGTTTCGCTTCTGCCCCGAATCGTATTGCTGATCAAAACCTCTTTTTGGTCCTTTCGCTTCTAATTGGCTATACTTTGTAAAAATATTGTTTTTTTTTCAAACTAATTGGCGTCAAGTCAATTTAAAGCTCGGTTCTAACAAATTTATAGCATCTCGCTTCAAGAGTTTGATCGAGTTTCATCTTCAACTTATGCTCATTTGTATCGGTCTCTTTTCCATAGCCCCTTCGCTGTACACTTTCTTTTTCACTATAGGAGCTCCGCTTGCTGGTATGGCAAATTAAATGAAATTACGATGTCAAGCAAGACAAACAGAAATGTGTTTCTCTTCATTTTTTCACAATGCCAACTTGCATTATTTTGCCAAAACCCTAATTTCTTACAATTTCTTACAATTCTTAAATCAGCGGAAAATTGTCTACTTTTTAAATTTTGATTATACATTTTTATGACAAATAGGGTCGTACCAACACATCGTTCCATTCATTTTTGACGCGCTCAGTTTTTTTGAAAGTTTTTTTTGAGTTTTTGTTATTTATAGCTTTTGAAATGAGTTGAACCAAAAATTTCAGGCTTGGTGCATATCTAGGTTGATTTAATAACGTATGTTATTTATACTCACTTTAATTTAAAAAGCTTTTACCGTTTGCCATTCAGGAGAGTGGTAACGCGTACAAGTTTAACAGAGGTAAACCCGACATTAGACAACAATATCCGCTTACCAGAGATTTGTATAAATATAGGAGCCTCCGTTTTCAGCCCACGTTGTTAAAAAGTCTCCATTTATTTAAATTATTCCTCTTGAGAATACTTGAAGTGATTTTTATCTGTTTTCATTAGAGGCGCAGCATTTACGGAACCGAGTTAAAAACGGACCAATTCAGGAAACGCAATTTTATTCCATCGAATTGGGTTTTACATCATCATTCATTGTCACATCTCTCCATTGTTAGTCTTATCTGACATCAGTTTTTAATTGCTACATTGCTACGACGAGACTTATTGATCCCAGAGCTTCATTTTAATTAAGCGAAGGTGAAGTTATTCAGTATTGAGTGCCCAATTGATTTGAAGCTACTTTGTTTTGTCGAACTGTTACTTTGAAACAAAAATAAAGAAGATCATTTGGCGACACAAGAATGCTTCGAATTGATGAAATAAGCGTGGGACGAGCCACTGGCCGCATGTCTCCTACAGGGGTGGCAAGTAACAGCCCCTGCCCCAAGCGGAAACCCGGAAAGCCGGGATCGGCCGGAACTGGGAAGACTACCGCGGGAGCGTCCAGTGGCAACAATGGCAGTCACGTGCCACACATTTCAAAAATGCTGGCCGGTCAGTTTAATCCGATTGCTTTTATGCACAGAGACTCTGCAAAACACGATGAGCGAGTTGAGTCCCATTTTACAGGTAAATTTTTAACCTCACCCTGAAAATCTTTGTTTTTTGACAAAAATGCAAATCCACCCTTTCTGTGCAAGTTGCCACAATTAGTCACTATTAAAATATATTTGCTGTTTTAAATTTTTCTATTTAGTATGCGATATTCAGATATTTATAAGTATTAGATAAATTGCATGGAAAACTTATGTTCCAGAAGTAGTACTAGGCAGAAAGTTTTGGCTACAACTCTGAATTATCTGAATTGGGACAAAAATATGGGAATTTCCATTTGCTGTATCAAAACTATAAACTGTTACTGCAAAACTTGGTAAATATATTAGATAAGATTTGCTTAACGTCCAAATAATTTCTGTTGAATTTCAGTTTTCCAGACTTTCAAGTCATAAATATCACACTTGATTATGCCTGAATTTAAACCTAAACTAAGTTTACCAATTTATACCCCTCAATTACTTTCTCTAGAGGACAAAGAAGCATTTGACCTTCTAGACGAGGACAAAGACGGGCTCATTTCGGTCGATGACCTCGCCAAGTTCATGAGAATGATTGGAATGACATCAACGAATGCGGAATTGTCTGAGCTGGTTTTAGAATTCGACTCAGATGGTGAGTGTAAAAAATTATAAATTGATTACAAAAATGGCTATATGTGATTTTTTTTCTGAAATACATCTGATCCTTGGAGCCCTATATTCAATTTTCGTTAAGTTTGTTACCATATATAGCAACTATGATGATACGAACTTCAATTGGTGATTGAGCAAATCCGCTTCTTTCGCAAAAGAAGAAATTAAATCTAAATCCGATGACTCTAAAAATATGTTAAATGATGTAATTGAACAATCTTCTTTTTATGGTGTTTTAAGGAGACGGGTTCCTGAGTTACCAGGACTTCTTGAAGGTCCTCAACCAGGACTTGTTCGAAGGGGATCCCAATGGAGACGTTGTCAGAGAGGCTTTCAGACAATTCGACCAAGGTATGATCTCATGGTTTTGCTCACCTTGTTTAGCGTTTTCCTTTTCTTTTTCTAATCACGAATAAAATAGAACCAGCTTAAGCCGCAATAGAACAGCTTTCTAGAAAAGCTTAAACCAAAATGTTTCAGCTGTTCTAATTTTGACTTAGGTTTCAAAAAACAATAGCGAAGAAACGCAAACGTTTTTTCTTGTGAATTTACTGCGCTTGTCAAATTTTTTTCAACCCTTCAAATTTGATTTCTGCTGTTTGGCTTCTGATTTCTTGTATTCTAAAACGCTAAATGGAACAAAAATTGCCCCATGTGTTTATAAAATGGCAATTTACACGGAAATATTTTAATGTAGAGTACTCTCAAAACTAGATTTATTTTAGGATTCCTCAATGGGAAAAACTCTTTCAAGAAGTGCCATTAATTGAAACTTCCCGAAACTCGAAGAGGTTTAAAGTCTCATATTTTTTTCTGTAATCATTCGTTTTATCCGGTTTTCTTGAATTGATTGTTACGAAAAGCAAGCGTTATCAAACTGGAGTATAGACTTTTTCAAGTTAAAAATTAAACGTAGTTCAGACAATTACATAGGTCGCAATGATTTTTTTTTTCGGGAATCTTATAATTTGTTCACGCTTAATTTTATTTTTTCGCGGTTTGACTTTTGATTTCTTTTCAAATTCAGTTCATTTCCTTTTGTAAAAGGAAGGCAAACTCAACTATCGAATTTGAAAATCACAAACTACGTGATCGACTTCTAATTTTGAAAATGAAATTTAATTATCAGATTTCCCAGGGGTATAAAAACTTTGCCCAATGACCCAGTTTTCCCAAATTGGGTTAAGTTTATCAAAAAACGTGCTTAGTACACTAGCGAATTTCAAAAATTCGGTTTCAAAAATTTTTCAACTCAATAAATTCGCAAATTTTTGAAATGCAAAAACAATAAATTAGTTGGCTTTATGCTTTGCGATTTGTTACATGCATCAAGCAAGTTAGTGTGGATGCCTTCAGTTTGTTATATTCCAAATTATTACTTGCAGAACTGAGTCAATTTGTATTTGGTTCCACTTTTGGTGAATCGCATTGGCAATTTTTTTAGCATACGTAGCTGCTTTGTTAGTGACTAGTGTTTGCCAGTTGTTTAGCTTGCGTGGTTGAGTTGATAGTGCGTGAGACTCAAATCTCTTGATTGCAGTAGGTAGCAGATTCAATTCCTACACGTGTACGAGTTTTTGCTAATTCGAGGCTTATTTTTTTTCTTATTTCAATTGACAGAGCTGGTTTTTGGTCGTGTTAACGCAAGTGTTTGCGAAGCGCAGCTTCGCCTCTGTGTTATAAATTATTCTAGAAACTCAAAGAGGTTTAGGGTCATCTATTTTTTTCTTCGAAATTCGAAGGTTGAGATATTTTTTCAAAATGCAAGTCAGCTTTTTTTGCGTCCAATTTTTTTTCCAACTGTCAATTGGTTATTTTCATTATATTTACAAGTGTTGCTCATTGTTTTGTTAGGGGACTTGAAATTTTCTACAAAATCATTTTTTTTCGGCTCAACTGGTGTCTACTCAAAAATTGGCGGCATCGTTTCCGCTTCGTCAGTTTTGTTCCATTGCTAATTTGAATTCAAAGGTTTTGCTTGGCATGTTTGGCTAGATTGAAGTATTATCGAGACATACAAAAATTTTTGTCGACCTGGTTTTTCATTTTTTTGTACTTCTATTGTTTTTTTTATGTTTGTGTTGTATCGCAAGTGATGCGAAGCTCCGCTTCGCCTCTGTGTTAACCTGTTCTAGTTTTGACCTATTTTTCAAAAATCAATAGCTGAAGAAACGCACACGTTTGAGATCAAATCGGAATTTAGACTTGTTTCTTGTTAACAACCAGCTTAGCATCACTAGAATCAATTGAGACATTAGCTCCTTTGAAAAGTGAAAATTGATGTGTTAACCTCTCACGTAGCGTAGAGCTAACATATATGATTGAAATGACTCAAATACGCATTGAGAGTATGGGAACGAGCTGCTTTTTTTCTGAAAATGGAAACGTTTTCGCGTGCACAAAATCTTCGAAAGACTTTTACTAGCCAGCTTTATTTATGTCGGCTGCACGAGTTCTTTGATTTAAGTACTTTTTTCATACTCGAAATTTGTGTGTCTATAGTTCAATTATGTGCAAGAGTTAACATTGCATAGAAAAAACTTCGCTGAATTTTTTTGGCAATTTTAAAATATTTCATTTTTTTTCAAGTTTTTTTTCTTCAAATTTTCCAAATTTGCTTTTAATTTTTTGTTTTTACATTTTTTAAACAGAAAAAGAACAATAAGGAACACCTTTCAGAAATGTTAACGCTTTCTATAAGCAAGCGTTATCGAACTGGAATATAGACAATTTTCGGGTTAACAACTAGTTTAACAAAAATAGCTGAATCAATTCTTTTCACTTTTCTTCTTTTCTTTTTTCCCTTCTTACTTTCTCTTAATATGTTCCAAATTGTTTCCCCCTTGGCCTGGAGGTAAATCAGTTGTCTTTGTACCCTAAAGTCTGGGGTTTGAGTCGTGGCCGGATCTTGTTTTTTTTAGTGCCAAGAAAATTGAAAAAAAAATTGGTTGATTTTTCAATTGTTTGATCAGGTTTTGTCGGCTAAATTGCCACAACGGATTTTGCTTGTGCTGTAGACAATTTGTCCTGTAATTGCAAGTGCAAATTTTGTTCATTCTTTTTTCAAAGGGGTTACTTGAAAGGTTTTTAAAAAAAAATCTTTCATAAACTCTTTTTCGTTTTAGTTGGTGTCTGCTCAAAGATGGTCGGCTTAGTAGCCACATCATTGATTTTTCTTGTGCTGAAAACAACTTTCATTGTAGTTGCAAGTTCAGTTGTTGTCCAATGTTGTTTAAGCTGGAACTCTTAACGTTTTTATAAAATCATTTTTTTTTCGGCTCAAGTTTTGTCTGCTCAACGATTGTCGGCTATGTTTTTTTTTTCGTAAGTTTTGTTCCGTTGTTGCTGATTTAAAATTTAAGTGTCTGGCATGTTTGCCTGGAATGAATTCCTATCGAGACATATTAAAACTGATTTGACCTAATTTTTTCAAAAACTTATACTTTCGGCTTTCTATGTTTTTATTTCAGCTCCGCTTCGCCACTGCGTTAAACATATTGTTTTTCTGATTTTAAAATTTTAAAAACAATGATATCTTCGCGGCGTAAGAAAAGTATTGAATGTTACTTTTTCCTCGCAAATGTTTCATTAGCCTGGTTTAATTTTAATAAGAGTTATTGAATCATAGGGATTACAGAATTTTAATTTTAATAAGAGTTATTGAATCATAGGGATTACAGATTGTTACTATATTCAGGGGCGGATCTAGGATTTTCTCGAGGGGGGGGGGCGGATTTTCAAAAAATTTTCCAAAATTTTGACGACCTTTTTTTTTTTAGGTCGACCAAATTGATTTTTCAAGCTCTCCCAAAGCACTGTTTTGCCCCTACTTTGGCTAAATTTTGTGCGCCGCAGGCAAATTTTTGAAAAACAGTCAAAAAAGCCGTTTTTGGGCAATTTTTGAAAAATTTTGACAAAAAAATCGCGTTTTTTTGGCGCGCGCTCCCCCTCAAAGTTAGTATATATGGGCGCCAAAGGCGCCTTTAGAAAAATTTTAGGGTCGGTCGGCCAAAAATGGATTTCTGAAAAAGTATCAAAGGGGGGACCCTTTGGGTCGGCAGGGGGTCAAATCCTTGAGGAAGGGGCGTCCGCCCCCCCGCCCCCCCCCCCCCCCCTAAATCCGCCCCTGACTATATTGTAATATTTTGATTTTTTTTTGAAAAATGTGAAGTTTAACTATGGAATTTACAGTTACTTTTTACTTTGTGATTTCAGTACACATGTTTGTAACGGAAATGATAGAAAACTCTTCTTTGTCCGTTGAGATTTTCCCGACTTCTGTTTGCTTTTCCAAATGCTTCATGGAATTGGTCAAGCTTCATTCGTCTTTTCGCCAATTTTTTTGGCATTTTATCATCAGCTCAAAAAGGTTTTACTCAGTTTTTGGTTAGTATATTCTTCTATAAGGTTTCGACTGCGGGGTAAAAAATCACTAATTCTACAAACTTTTTATATTAAGATTTTTTCCTTTCTGCTGAGTTTATCTCCGTTTCTTAAACGTCGATTGACAACTCAGTGTTTGCTGTTACACACAAAATGTCACCGATTTAATACAATCCAGATTACATATTCGAAGTAAACCAGCCACGGTTAAAACATATTTGTGTTTTTTTTTTGCAACTGAATCCTTCGTACGGGTTAAAATTATCATGATAAACCGCTTTTTCAGAACTACCAAAATTACAATCTCATAGCTTTTTTTCCAATCAAATAATGGCATGTCTGCATTCTGAATGAGTACTTCAAGGCACAACATTTTCACAAATTCAATTCCCAGCTGGGCAATTAAGCTTACTGTGCCTGAATGACCTACGTGAACATTTTTTAAATTAATTTTGAGCTCAAACTCTTGCCTTAAAGTTTCAAATTTTGTCGCTTACAATTGATATGTCTACTTAATACCGAAGGCCCGCTTATTTCAGTATTTTAAACTATACTTGCAGAGAGGAAGGCTAGTTTTGCTTGCGAAGTTCTAACGTCCATTAATGAAATTCTTGCTCTGATATGTAAAAGAACGGTTCTTTTGTTGTGCTTCCTTGATTACACAGCGCAGCATAGTTTAATACTTTTTAACCGGAGTCGAAAATTAAAAGGCTCATTTTGTGGCCGTTTTGATTATTTCAAAACATAAGGAATTTAAAAGCATTAGTTAATGCTTCATTTGTGGCTAGTATTTTTTTTTATAAAAAACAGCTATCAATAAAATGCATGTGATCTGCTTAGTATTTAGTTAATCTGTTTTGGGACACTTCGGAAAATTTTTTCTTTTTTTTTTTGCAAAAACTGTGGTTTTTCTAAAAAACTACTGAATCGTTTTTCAAAAAAGGTTACTTCACTACGTGGCTGCATGTTTGGCTAATCTCTTCTAACCTTACCCTACGTTCTACGGCCTTCGAATATATCAGTGAGAGAAACTGTAGACCCATTTTTTCAAATCTTTTTTTTATCAACGAATACCTTCTCAAGTTTGGGAATATCTGAGATAAAGTGGACGATCTTGTCCGAATGAGCGGCACCGCCATAACTTTTCTTGAAAAACTTATGGCCTGAGGAATTGTCTCAGTTTTAAATGTTTTCGTTGGAGTTTCTTCAACTTTTTTTGAAAAAAATTTCTACCAAATCTGAGATTATAAATTCAATCAAAAGGAGAACTTGTGGGAATTTTCCCTGCACTAAAAATTAATTTTTTTTGTAGAATATTTTTGGACATTTTTGGAAAAAGCCATTCTTTGACCATCTGATCACTTTTAAAAAAACAATGGGACATTTTTTGCAAAAATATCCCGCCAATTTTATTTTTAGGTGTTCGTTCAATCGAAGAGTTGTTTCTGAATTTTTTTTCTTTCATATGCAGCTACGCTCTAATGTTTATATAAAAAACTGAGGCATTTGAGAAAAACAGTTTCGATTGAAAGAACAATTTGTGAGAAATTTCCCTGCTTTTTTTTACAATACCCTGACAAATCTAGAATTAAGTGTTCAATCCAACAGATAGTTTGTGAAAACTTCCGATGCTTATGGCGCTACATCCTAGAATTTGACTAAAACAATTGGCTCTAGGAAAACTAGGAAAACCTCAAAAACTACCCGGCCAAATCTGAATGAAGGTTTCAATCGAAAGATCAGGTCGTGCGAATTTTCTATGCCCACGCAGCAAATCCCTAATTTTTCTTAACAACGGTGCAATTTTGAAAGTTTGATCCTTTTTGCCGAATTTTTTTTGAAAACTAGTTTCTCAAATATGATATTACAAGTTCAATCAAAAAGTCAGTGACGATACGTTATTCGGGAATTTTTCTAGTTTTTAGAAAAAATATGGCCTGAAAAATACCAACTTTTGACATTAGGACTGTTTTATCTGGCTTAATCCAAAAAACAGTTTCTGGGGTAAGTGTGTGCATATGCATTTGCTCTTTATTGATAGAAAAACCGCTATAGACTTGAGAAAATTCCAGTTTTTCGTACTTTAATCATTTTTTGATTTTTTTTCTGGTTTCAAACGGATTTATATATCAAACGCCTTAGCGTGCAACATTGTTTCAAATTTTCGATACGTTTGAACATGCAATTGCACTTCTCTGTATTACATGGTGTGTCATGAGCAAAGTGCAAGAGACATTTCCAACCCCGGTTTGCTCGATTTAAGTTTCGACTTTGAAAGTCGAGCAAATGGAGTTTTTCGACTGAAATTCCTCGGTGGAGAAACAATTTAAGGTCAAGCACAAAAGCGAAATATACCCGATATCGGCCGAGAAAGTCGATACATAGATTCAGCACAGTCGAAACATACCCAATTTTAGCCGAGAAAGTCAAAGCATAGGCCGAACTTTCTGTTATGAGCCGAGAAAGTCGAAACATAACTGATTTTGGCCACAAATTAAAAACATAAGTCGAGAAAAATCTGTTTTTTTTTCAAAAAATTTTTTTGAAGATTTTAATTATATTAAAGTTAGAATCAGAGAACAAAAAGCTTGCTCCCAAAAAACCGCGTCTTTTGATGAGATTTGCTTCCGTAAAACTAAAACTTTCAGAGAAAACTTTTTGCTTTTGGAGGTCTAAGGGTTCCTGAGAAAAAAAAACTAAATTCTACCTTTATTTTCAATTATCAGTTCTCAGATAAAGAGTTTCACTACAAATTTGTTAACAATATAAAAATAAAATGAAAAAATCAAAGTGTAAACAATAGTTTTTGACGCAGGGTTTTGCATTTACCAATTCGTATATTTAATTTTTAGTTCAACCATCATCACAAAGAAAAAATAAAATTGTTTATTATATTTTTTTTGTCAATTTACTTTTGCTATTTGGCAGTCAAGAAAGTCAAAATATAGGTGGAGTACAGTCAAAATATACCAATTTTTGTCGAGAAGGTCAAAAAGATGGTCTAGCACAGTCGAAATATTGGTCGAGCACTGTCTAAACATAAGTCGAGTACAGTTGAAACATAGGCCGAGTACAGTCGAAACATAACTCGATTACGGTCGAAACATGGGTTGAACACAGTGGAAACACAGGTAGACTGCAGTCAAAACTTAGTTCGATTACAGTCGAAACATGGGCCGAGAACAGTCGAAACACAGGTAAACCGCAGTCGAAACTAAGGTCGATTACAGTCGAAACATGGTTTGAGCACAGTCGAAACATAGGTCGATTACAGTCGAAATGTGGGTCAAGCACAGTCGAAACATAGGTCGAGCACAGTCGAAACATGTTTCGATTACAGTCGAAACATGCGTCGAGCATAGTCAAAACACAGCTAGACCGCAGTCAAAGCTAAGGTCAATTATAGGCGGAATATAACAATTTTTGTCGAGAATGTCGAGAAATTGGTCGAGATCAGTCGAAACATAGGTCGAGCACAGTCGAAACAGAGGTTGAGGACAGTCGAAACATAGGTCGAGCACTGTCGAAACATGGGTCAAGCACAGTTGAAACATAGGTCGAGCATAGTCGACACACTGGTAGACCGCAGTCAAAACTAAGGTCAATTATAGTCGGAATATAACAATTTTTGTCGAGAATGTCGAGAATTTGGTCGAGCTCAGTCGAAACATAGGTCGAGCACAATCGATACACAATTCGAGCACAGTCAAAACATAGGTCGAGCACAGTCGAAACATAGGTTGAGGACAGTCGAAACATAGGTCGAGCACAGTCGAAACATAAGTGACCTGGCTGGGTCGAACAAAGTCGAATACTTTTTTATGAGTGGAAAACCAAACCATACCAAAGTTTGGTCGACAAAGTCGAAACATTCCGAAATTTGGTGGAGAAAGTCGAAACAAACCGAAATTTGGTCGAGAAAGTAGAAACATATCGAAATGTGGTCAATGCGGTCAAAACACGTCAATTTTTGGTCGGGAAAGTCAAAACATAAATCGAGCACCCCCACCTGGGACGTCGGGACGTCACTCCAAGATGTTGAACTTTTTCAAGCCACTCCCGAACCTCACAATTGTCTAATTTGTTTGGTACATGGTGTCAAAATCAATAAAGTTTTTTTAGGTATCTTTTTTTTTATATACCTTTGTAAAATAAGTTTCAACAACCAGCTTCTTTTTTTTTTAAATTTCGTCTGATTTTCTGTCGTTCTGTTGTTCGGAAACCCGATAATATGTTCGTTGTGCATTTGTAGACGGCACTGGCTATGTGGGGGAGGCTGAGCTGGCCACTATATTCCAGCAGTTGGGGGAGGAGCGACTGGCCGACACTGAGTTGCAGGAGGTGGTGAGAGAGTACATAGTGGGTAGTGGGAGCGATGGCGCCATCAACTACGAACGTCAGTACTACCTTATTCTTATCTCTTTACACACTTGAGCCGCGGGATCGACTCCCGCCGGTGTCAGATATTTTTGTGAGGATGTTCGAAAGGATCTTTGAATTGCGCTATTTTTCTTCCTCGCGTGCAAATCTCTTTCTTGTTAACACAAATTGAATGGCTGGGAAGTCAAAATGTCACACTTTTGCGAAAGGAAACATTAAAGTGAGAACTATAAGAGAGAATAGCTTCAAATTAAACCTATAATCTACTTGGTTCCCGTTTCATTATAATTAAGCTTGAGATTAGGGTATGTATCAAATCGCAACAGACTGCGGGTAACATTTTTCTTACAGAATCCACTGACGCAGTTGACGGCTTGATTTTTAATAAATTCAAGCTCACTTTTATTCAACTACAGTCTAAAAAATGTTCATACCTTTCACTACGAAAATCGAGGGTTCAAATCTAGACAGGACCTGATCTCTATGCGAACTGATCATTTTTGGCCTAAAAAATTCATTTGTTGGCCCATCAGTTGTTTCCTTAAATTTTGTTTGCTTAGCCGCGACAGAACGAGCTGTTCCGGTGACTTTCACAATTAGCGAGAATCCGCTAATAATCGATTTTCAATTTCTGGGTTTTTGAAAAATAATTGTGATATGCGATTTTAGGATGATTTTTTTTGCTATGTTCTTATGCTTTCCTCACAGTCACAAGAAAGCACTAAATGTAGCTTTGTCTTAGATTTTAACAGTTGCCACTATCAAGTAGTTTGAAATCGCGTTTTTTATTGTAACTTTGTTTAAAAAGTCTAATTTTCCCCCTATTTTACATATGATTTCTTCGCCTTGTTTAGGTTTGTTGCTTTTATATATGCTTTTACGAATCAAAAATCGTATTTTGAGTTAATTTGAAAATATGAAAAATTAAAAAAATGTCGCTTCCTTTATAGTATTTTTTTTGCCTGAACACCACTGGCATAATTTTTGTTTCGCAAGTGATCCGGGACAATTTTATAGAAATATTAAGAACTGAACAAGATTGCTCGTATTAGGGCAAAACCCCGAATGCTCCAACTGCCTTCTGAAAACTGCCCAACGTCGTTAAAATGTTTTTGAGAACATCAATTGAAAAAAATGATAAAAGTTACAAAAAAAATTGAATATTCGTATTGGATTTTTTTTTATTTCCCCCACACGCTATGTCAAGTAAAAAGTGATTTTCTAAGTATCTAGGAAATTATTAACAGCGGCGATTATCTTGCCTAAAATGATTTTGGAACGGTTTATGAGCGGTTTAAATCGCCGCTTACGCGTTAACTATCCCAAGTAGTGGAACCTGATCCAAACTGTATATTATTATTGGTTATAAGTTAGATATTTTATCCCTATAAAATATTGAATACTAAACAATCATACTCCATCTAACTAACGACCCACTTATTTGTAAGTGCTGAAACTACTTGTGGTTTCAGCACCAGAGCATTCTGAATTTAACTTACAGCTTAGTTGCCTTTTCCAAGAGACCAACTCGTAACAAACCGGTATACTCTAGATCTATTGAGACTAGGAGATTTAAGAGTAAGATTAAGATCGGTATTAGACTGAGAAGTTGCACGAATCTATCCGGCCGAAAATAAGATAGCGTGACGAGCAGACGGTGCAGACTTTAATATTCCAACTTGGAATGAAATCAAAATTTTACATCCAAAAATAACATCCATAAAAACAACAAGTAGACTAGCAACATCACAAGGCTCAACCCTAACAAATTATGGAAAAATTCAACTTTTCCTTGTTCCCACTAAAACAATGGAACAAAATAAACTTCTCAATAAACCATTTAAACAAATAATCCGTATCACAGATATAAAACACAATATTATTGGAATTCCATTCCTCACAAACTATATACCAATTATTAATATACTAGATAGTAAAATTAAAATAAGAGATAAATATACAAGACTGCAAAACACCGCTTTAAAATTCATCCACAGAATGAATAAACAACCACCATTTTTTTCAAAATTTTACCCCATCTATAATAAAGAAAGAAAACATCTCAAACCACTCTCAGGTTACATTTATGAATTTCCAATTAAACAAGTTAATCAATACGACAAAAATAAAAAAAACAACATCTCTTCATGTCAGACTTTGAATTTAGACCAATTCACAAATTTTTTAGAGTAACAATCTCATCTATAAAATACATGAAAAACTCAAACTCCGATATTATTTCTCTACACGTGTATAACAATTCACCATACAAAATCACTTTACCCTTAGGACTCTTAGGATATTGCGAAACTAATTCAAGAACTTCCCGCACAAAAGAAGTAGCATACAGAGTGAATAATATACTACAACTATTAGATATATGTCAGTCAACAATCCTCGATGAAGAACTATCAATAAATAATATAATAAGTAATGAAAAAAAGAATACAGATTTTTTCACAAAAACACCTTATTTTAAACCAACCTTCAAAATTTCGCATTTTACAGAACAACAACAAAATTTCTTAACAATGTTCATTTTTCAACACTCCCAACTAACACAAAATAAATTTGAAAAATTAGCCAATTTACTTTTAAAATATCCAAATGTTTATGCAACATCTGAATTTGACGTTGGAAAAATAAATTCACCGCTACATTTACTCTTGAAATCTGACGCAGTTTTCAAAAAACAACGAGCAAGTAAAGTACCAATTCATTTACATGACAAAGTCAATAGACTTTTTGACATTCTAGAACAATACGAAATTATATCCCCAGTTAATTAAGAAGAACAACCGAAAGGAAACACCTTTATTGCCCCTGTTATTATCTTCGCCAAAGGAGAATCATTAAAATTAGTTCTAGATGCTAAATATCTCAATTCACTAAGTGATGAATCCAAATGTAATTGGCCAATAGAACCAATCCAAGTAATTTTAACAAAAATAAACGGTAAATATTTCACAACCGCAGACATGAATAGTGCATATAACCAAATGCCACTAGATGAACAATCACGACGACTAACGCAATTCCTTATTCTACATCAACAAAACGAATTTAATAGATTATTCTATGGAATATCCATAGGACCAGCAGCATTCTCAAACTTTATGAGTAAAATTTTTAGACAATTCATACTTAGTAAAAATGCAATCACATACTTAGACGATGTTTTCATGCAATCAAAAACAAAAAATGAAATGTTCATAGTTCTAGAAAAATATCATCAGATTTTACAGAACAAAAACATGAAAGCAGCCCCAGATAAATCACATTTTTTTTAACACGCGTAAAATTCCTTGGACTCATCATAGAAAAAGATTTTATAACACCACTGAAATCCGAATTGACGCATCATAGAAAAAGATTTTATAACACCACTGAAATCCGAATTGACGCAATTCAAAAACTTCAACCACCAACAAATAAAAAGAAAATACAAGAAGTTCTTGGAATGTAAAATTTCTTAAGTAAATACATATGTAAAATGCAATTATACTTAAGACCATTCTATAAAATTCTTAGACAACAAAATAATTTTGAATGGATAACAGAACACCAAACACGTTTTGAAGAAATCAAAAAACTTCTCATTGAACAGATTTCAAACACATTTCCAAATCAACCATTTTTTTGCATTGTGCGATGCTTCAATATTTGGCATCGGATCAGCATTATTACAATCCCACAGTGGAACAAATAAAACGAATCTTATTTCAGCAAACTCTCGCCTATTTACTCAAGCTGAACTACGACTCTCTACCCTTATGAGAGAATGCACAGCTATCATACACACCTTCACCTTAACAGAATATGCTTATTTGATACTTGGATCAAAACATCCAACAATTTTATTCACAGATCATAAAACTATCTTATTTCTTTTTACACAAAAATCAAATCCAAACCATAGAGTTTATAGATTTCAACTAATTCCAACGAAATTTCCAAACTTACACATAGTATGGACAGCAGATGTAACATTCGCCCAAATACTACACAGCGACGGAGCGTAGAAAAAATACCTATTAACGACTGGCAGGCGTCAGTTACCTTAATCCTACTCGCTTTTCACCGTCTCGACCTTGCCAGTTGATTTTCTGGTCTGTCTAGGGCAAAGTAAAAAGTTACCATTTTTAGGCCATCAGTCAAACGACTTTTGATCAGGTTTCGTTTACATGCGAACACAACCACATAGCTGAGTCTCGGATCCTCAGACTACGTGATTGTCATTAAAAACACGGCTCGAACAACCTATTTTAACATGTTTTTGTGTGACAGTTCTATATTAAATCCATTGGAGATGGATTGACCCTTTCCTCTTTCTAGCTACTCATGTTCTAAAATATCAAATAATACCGGTGTTAATTTAAAGTTTCACGACATCCAAGTAGCTATATAGTTAGTTTTATACAGTCCCTTCACATAAACAGTCTCTGGGGGACCAAGCCTCCGCTCCCGTGATATTCCGGCGATAACGCTCTTGTCTCTTCTATTTTTCGTCCCGGGAGGGTCCCGTGGTATATTTCTTCCCCCACTGAAGCCTCCTTCTCCACCAATATTCACTGCTAAGTGTCTTATCGTGCGTTGTTGCCACGATAAGAGGCTTCGTATTTTCCGTCTCCTGTACGACTGTTTTTCACAATATCTGTCGTTGTTCTGATTTTTGTCACTTTTTGGCTCAAAATGGCCGTTTTTCGTATTTCTGAGAAATATCAACTTGAAAATCGAAATTTTAAAAATAAGTATTCCAGAATATTCTGACCCTCCTTTCAAGCACTTTTTTGCTGTTAAGGCCTTTTCTCTCTTATTCGTGCTTCGTCGGAAGGTTGCGCTGTGTCATCTGGCAGAATGGCACATACTCCCCGGACAGTCCCCATCAATGTCCCTATTGATCGCATAACACCGGGTTATCGTCAAGTAGTTATCCAGTTTTCTGTAATCAATCTTACAAATCGCATAAGAAAATGAAATTTATCTACCCCACCTCAACTCACTACGTGTTCACAA